CAACGTACGCAACTTGATCTGCTTTTGTGCGTCGGCAGGGGCGTAGCCAGAACGTCACCAAGGGCGAACACATGGTTGACAAAAGCCCATCATATGGTGATCCCCTAAAACATCCACGGATATAGCTAACTGGTTAACAGGGAACATGGTTTTCTTCGTTTATGGTTATTGTTACCTTGTTACCCGCACAGAAACCAAGAGCTACCGCGAGCTGAATTTTGTTTGTATTTTGAGGTCAATAAACTGAAGAAATCAGCCGTTGAACGACAACATGGAATAAGTTACCGGCGTTTTTAATTTATAATGGTTAGTTGACTCTTTCTAAATTGATAGAATTCAAAGGCCTTGTCAGAATTTTCAGCTTGGTCCTACAGACATTTAGGACATCGCGAAGGTAGATTGTAGATCGATGTGTTTGATCCAAATTGGAAGATGAAAATTGGCAAATCAAGTGGTCAATAATGTACATTAACATAACCAGGCCATGTTTGTCTGGAAATGTACACCATTCAGTTGAAATCTCTTAGTGATTTAATTTATGTAACATCCTTTTTTAACATGCGAGCCCGCAAATCTTAGCAACAAAAACCCCACCACCAGGCGTTACAGCCTTCATTTTCTGCGGATATTTAGCCCAGTGGCTAACTTTTAACCGTGGCCAACCGGTGGACGAAAATGGTGACGCTTCTGAAGTTATTACCTTTTAACACTGTAAACGATTATCAATACAAGTTTTGTGACGTCATTTTGTGCATGCGCACTCCAAAGTCTTAGAAACACAAGCATCGACACCAAGTGTTGCAGCCTCCATAGGCTGCGCAACGTCGGCCGAGTATCTGATACTAAGCTATGGCCAACGGTTGCATGAAAATGATGGCGCTCCTGAAAAAGTATTCTGAAATATTGTAAAGTGTAGCAAAAGTATCGAGCGCATATTTCACATGTGCAAGTTTTTGACTGATGAAAAGAACGGATTTGCCCTTAAAGCACCGGGAAGTGGGGGCGGAATCTGGTGATTGAACTGGAGGAGTGAAGGAAGGGTCTCTATTTTTCTTGTTTTTTGCAAGTATTTGTCTATCCAGAAGACAGATTAACACGGCGCCCGCCGTCTGGTGGCAATTGCAGTGGCCTTGACGTTTTGGTTTTTCGGAAGCTGCAACCCAGACCATCCCTGCTCTCGAGGTTGGGGGCGGGTATGCTCAAGCATTTTGATGTAATTTGTTTTGCTAGTACATTCTGAAAAAAGCGTTCTCAGGCAAGCATGGCATGAACTTGCTCGTTCTTACGCTGATTTCTACCCATCCTATTCAACAATAATAAAATCCCACTCTACTCAACAATAATGAGACACCTTATTTCCTTCCGGGTAAGGGCCTCTTGAGAAGAACATAGGGGGTACATAACCGTTTCCAGTCAAGGGTTGAAGGGTCATTCCGTTCCATCGCGAAGTATCTTCTGGCTATCATTCTGGCGACACGGAGTGGGATCGCCTGGTCGATCCGGAGGCCATTAAAAGGATATAGCATACCACATTGTTCCCATCCCTGACATGGGAGGCCTTCTGACCCGCGCAGTTAGCCCCAGATCAGCACAGGAACCCTCATTGACGCAACAACATCCACGATCACCGCAGATAGTTCAATAATTGTCACATAGACTCTAGTTCCGTGTTTTTCTGTGTTCTTCAGAGATATTGAGTTCTCCCTGATGGTAGATTGTAGATGAAATGGGGTTCCCAATTTCCATTAACATGGCTAACCCATGTTCGTCTTAATATGCTCAAGATCCTGTCATAACTGATTACTGGTAAGAAAACTACGTAATATGGTCTTAAACACGCAAGCGCGCGCTCCCAAGTCCTAGCAACGACAACCTCGACATCCGGTGTTGCAGTCTCCATCGCATGCGGCTTCGCCCTTGCGGCTGTAACACTAAGCGATGGCCAATGAACGAAAAAGATGACGCATCTTAAGGGCGATGTCTGGTGAAATGAGTAAATCGGCATGCATGTTATATGTAGTGCAAAAAGAGCCAACTGCAACTTTAATCTGAAAAGTGGAGGGGGGGGGGGGCAGTTACCATTGCAAGCCCCCCACCTTGAAAAGTGGGGGGTCCATGGTCCCCTGGCCCCCTGTTCCTACACCGATGGTCTCAATGGACCGGAAGTAAAATGCAGAAAATAGAGCAGAATGCACAATACATGGTATATGGTTCTGCACGCACAGGATGTACACAAAATATCTTATAATCTTTTTCCAGTGAAACTGTATGTGAGAAGAATAATGCATGACACTCGGGCTTGTTTAATGACCACCTGGGGACACATATCTACGGAGAGCGTGCGCTCACGGTTGGGGGAGGAGGAAGTCGACATACATGCACCAATGGTACACATTATAACATACTTAAACTTTTAGGTGCACATTTCAGCAACGGCATAAGACAATGCGGACCAAAGATATAAGAATCGCTACATGTCGGTGAACGTTGACAGAGGATTAACTCGCAAGCACCATGCGAAATACTGATTGTTAGCGCTGTTGTTCAGATAAGGTACGTTCAGCAATACTTGTCTGCTGATTTATTTTGACACTGATTTCCTGTAGCGAATTGCCTTCTGATCTGTGATACAGTCCATCGAAACCCTCCGGCCTAGCCATTGATGTCTCGTGCAAGCCTTATCATAGTGCCGTGTGCCTTGCATTAGGATATGGAAGCTTGCATGCTTGATTATTTTAATACTTTTCTTGTCAGGATCTGCACATATTTACAACAGCTACGATCATTCACAGGCCTTTTGAATTGTGCGTTGTGTGGTGACTTATTCACAGGTGACCACGTGCACTACCTGGAACTGTTGATTTGTCATAATATTTTGGAAATATTGGCATAGAGTCTTGGCGTAGCCACGGGTCTCCCGGTATACTGACGTACCTGTGTTTTGGCATAGATGTCAAAATTGTGAGAAAAAATCGTGCGTGCGTGCGTGCGTGTGTGTGCGCGTGTGTGTGTGTTACGGTACTGTTTTAAGCATCAACGGTTAGCACACGTGTAAGCATTGCCTTTTTCTTTTAACGAGTGATAGATTTCTGGGTTTGCTCTCAGGCGATGAACAGAGGCAGTGTCACCGACTTCCCTTGTAGGGCGAGCATATTTTAAAAAACCGAAGTTGTCCTCCGATTTCGGCCATTTTACAGACTGACTTCCTAGATACATGAAACTAAGCACAGCCACCTCTCAGCCCAGCAGGATGCCATGACTTGTTAATCAGTGCGTCCTATTGGACTTGTGTGACTTTCAGTAGCAGAAAGGCCACCATAGCTCAATCAGTTAGTGAGTGCTGCCCAGCCCACATGTGACGGTGTGCCCCCCCCCCCCCTCTGAAAGGAGACCTCATGTTGTTCAAGAAGTCCGCTGGAAAAGCCTCTCCTCAACTTATATCTCCTGGCGCCGCCCCTGACAGACCCAATAAATTGACGTGGGGAATCCACATCAATGAAAAGTCTCCACCAATCTGTTGATGCACCGGCTAATTGTTCTAAATGGCATCACGTGCAGTATCTTGACCGCAAATGGCCATTCATTGAACCATTTACTATGAGTTTTAATGTAGTGTGCTTTGAAATATGTTACATCTCTGCCCAAATCTCAGTGATACATGATCAGAAACAGGCTATTAACCCGATAGGAAGCATAAATTATTGATACCCATACTTTCCCCTCTCTTGCAAGGTTTACTCCTTTGGACGCTGTAGGCTAGTTGTGGTGAAAACGTGACAGCGATCACTAAAAATCCAAAGTAGTTGCAACAAGAGCGTCTAGTTTCATAAAGCTATGACCAATCAGCGAACACGCCCCCCGGTCAAACACAGAACAAGTTCCACGCCGGCTAAGGGCAACGCTGCGACGCTTTCACAGCAGCTCCGCGCGTGTCCAACGCCCCATTCCACGGTACTCGTCTGGCACTCAACGATCACTTGCAAGTCGAGCGCGGCCTCGCCGACCAACAGCATCCGACACCATCGCAGCACCAGCGTGGGAAATGAATCCGTTGCTATGCGACTCCCCCCTCCCCCCGACCGCATGCTTGTAGTGTTGGCACTGACGTCGACTGTACGCTCTCGGCCGACGGGGGGCGGAGCAACGCTGCCCACCAATAAGGCCGATTATTCACACCCTGGCGGCCGTTCCAAGAACTATTTTAGAAGCTCTGGCCCTTGAACATTCTATACCTTGGACAATACGTACATTGGACATTCTGTACTTTGGACATTCTGTACCTTGGACACTCTGTACATTGGGCATTATGAAACGGACTCCTTCCACCTTGCGCCATTTTGGAAGCTATTTCTAATCTTGGACATTGTGTACCTCGGACATTATGCACTTTGGACATTCTGTACCTCGGACATTCTGTACTTTGGATATTCTGTACCTTTGGACATTCTGTACTTTGGACAATATGAAGGACTCCCCCACTGTCGCCGGCTGGGTGTCGTGCCCAGCAGCGCAGGGGAAGGTGGCGCGTTTTCGCCGGCCATCCACCGCAACGGCGGCGTGGCAGCTCCTGTCGCTTCGCAGAACGCGGCCAGCCCTCGACTCGCGGCCCACGGCAGGGGCGATGGCCGCTCTAGCATCCTTGGCTAACGGTACGTGATGAGGTCCGGTAGCTGACGCGGGTGGAACGGTCCCCGCCCGGAAAAACGGGCGGGGACGGTTCCGGAAAAACGGTCGACAGTTCGCCGGTTCGAAGCGTGTCGAGCGAGTCTTTTTGTCCGGCGCTCGCGCTCGTCAAATGGGTGCGCGTCATGTGCCCGCCTTCTCTGGTCCCTGCAAAAATGGCGCCGGCGCGGTGCCGGCGGCTGCGCGGCCCGCTTTGCGACCGGAGTCGGCTGAGGCCGGGCCGACGGAGGGCGGCGGCAGAGAGCGCGGGGCGACTAGGGTGAGCGCGTGCGGTCTGCTGCCGCGTGACGTAGTCAGCGGCGGAGGCTCGGGGCGCGAGGCGCAGGCTGGTGCCGACCTGCGGGCACGGTCTGCAGGCGCTGGTGCTGAGCTGGTGAGCGGCGGTGCTGCGCTGGCCACGCCGTCCAGAACTCCGTGGTGCTGGGCGCGGAGCACCGCAGAACAGTGAAAACCGCTGGCTTCGGTCACTGCTGACGTTCGACAGGACCGTTTCAGCCGGAAGGACGCCTCCGAGGACCCGTGTGTCGGGACGGCCCTGGTTGTCAAGCAGCGGGTAACCCCAGCAGTTGCAATCGTGCACCTTGGAGTCTGCTGGATCCCGTTAAGCCAGTGACCGGCCTCTCAGTAGGCACCGGCGCCCGCTGCGCTGTGAACCCGCGTCCGCGCAGCCGCCGTCTGCCTCTGAGTCGCAGCTGTCCGCCATGACTCCCCGCCTGCTGGCCGTCCTGACCCTCGTTCAGGTGGTGCTCCCGGAGCCGGCGTGGCTGGCGACAGGACCACTGACTCTGGCGCAACTTGCAGCGGGTCAGCTGTCGAGCACTGATCTGACTGAGGGTCAGCTGACGGAGGGTCAGCTGATGGAGAGTCAGCTGGCGAGCAGCCCGGAGTCGGAGAGCCAGGCGTCAGCGAATCACCTGACTCTGCAGCAGCTTGCAGCGGGTCAGCTGTCGAGCGCTGATCTGACAGAGAATCAGCTGACGGGAAGCCACCTAACGGAGAGTCAGCTGACGGAGAGCCAGCTGACGGAGAACCAGCCGACGGAGAGTCAGCTGACGGAGAGCCAGCTGACGGAGAACCAGCCGACGGAGAGCCAGCTGATGGGCAGCCTTGAGTCGGAGAGCCAGGCGTCAGCGGGTCAAACGACGGGAGACGGGCGGCCGGGGGACGGGGCGGCGCCGGCCGCCGAGCCGTTCCGAGTGTTCTGGAACGTGCCGTCAGCCCCGTGTACCCAGCATTTCGGCGTCGACCTCAACCCCGGACAGTACGGCTTCACGGTGAACGCCGGCGAGAAGTTCGCTGGGGAGCAGATCGCTCTGCTCTACTCTCCAGGTGATGTACGACAGACGGATGGCCGAGCATGCACAGCGCGCTGTTCTCACCCGGCGAATCACGCGTGTGCTGTGCTTGAAGCGGACCGTCGGATGGACATGGGGATTTCCTGTCGGTTGACTGGATGCAAAGAACAAATCGACGACTTGCACTAGGATTGCAAGACTATTCAGCATGACATATGGGCTTTTCAGATGATGTCGAATCGCCCGGAGTTCATATTGTCACGAGCACTACGCCATTTTTTCCACTTTCCCCATGAAATCGCCACTCGGCTCACAACTTTCTCCGTTCCCCGTGATCTTGACGTGCGCCGTTTGTCCTACGGCAGGTTTGTTTCCGAATATTCTGAAGAACGGCTCGGAAGCGAATGGCGGCCTGCCGCAGGTGGGGTCGCTAGACGTCCACCTGAAGCGGTTCCAGGAGGACCTGGAACGATCCGTGCCAGACGTCAACTTCAGCGGTGAGTTGTGGTCCTTCTCCTCGTGGTCTCTCTCTCTCTCTCTCTCTCTCTCTCTCTCTCTCTCTCTCTCTCTCTCTCTCTCTCTCTCTCTCTCTCTCTCTCTCCTCTCTCTGTCTCTCTCTCTCTCTCTCTCTCTCTCTCTCTCTCTTTCTCTCTCTCTCTTTCCCTCTCTCTCTCTCTCGCACTTGCGGTCTTTCTCCGTGTTCGTTTTGGGCCCGGTCGGTTTGCATGCAAGGTGATCTGACATGCTTTGACGCGCGGGAAACATCAAACAGAATTGTTTTGCGAAAAGCACAATTTGGAGGGCTTAGTACATCGTGCTAATCAGCCTGTATCCCGAACACTGAAGAGACTTATGGTGGCAAATTGATGGGGTTGCAATTTACAACGTATTCATATTCGAATATTTATTCGTGCGCACCAACATTGGGGTCCACACAGCTCTGTCCTTATTGCATGGAATCAAAATCTGAAAATACGCACGTGCTCAACATGCCGTCGAGTGTACAAACAATTGGGAGCATAACCTTCAAATGTCATGGTATAGCCTCCGGGCAATAATAGGTTAAAAACGTAGCCACGCAGAACTCCGTCAATAACGCATTGGATCCAAATATGACAACGCTTACGGGGTGGCAGTGACGTCACGTTTATACAGCTTTCGTGATCTGACCTTTAGAGGTCACCGTATAGCGTCCAGGCAGTCAGAGAGAAAACGCCGTCACGCATTACTTCACTGGAGGTTAGGCCAACTGAGGGCAAACACCTGATGACGTGGCGAGTACGTTGTCTGATGTCACTGAGCACCGTTGTCAGATTTGGATCCGATATTTTACGGACGGAGAACTGTGGGACCGTTTTGTTTTACCTACGATTGCCTGGAGGCTATACGACGACCTTTAGAGGTCAGGCTGCTCAAGTTGCATGTACTTGATGGCGTGGCGAGCACGTAGCCATTTTCACGTTTGAATTCCATGCATTAATGGGTGAGATGTGCGTGACCGTGTTTTCGGCGTGTATCAATATAGACCCGAATTTGGATGCGTGGCTAACTATACCTACATGTCAGATTATGTGAGACAGAACCACTTGTTTGATACGGAACACTCACCAACGTAGCTTCCGCCTCGTATGATTTCAACATACTACCGTGACATGATTCAGGAGCCTGGTGGCGTCTGGTGTGGACCTTCCTGCAAATTAACGTGTGCTTGGGAAAGGGGCGTGTGGTGTCTGAGCCGAGTGCATAAACACAACACACCACAGGCCTGTATTCACGTTCAGAAAACATTGCTGAGCCACTCCAATGCACTGAATGTTCCATCCCCAAAGCTGACGCCTCGAGAGCTGACGCTGAGCCCAGCATGACGGGCGTGGGAGTGATCCCCCTCCCCCCACCAGGCGTGGGGGTGATTGACTTCGAGGGCTGGACGCCCTGGTTCGCCGCGCTGGCGAGTCCACTCAAGCAGGCGGCGCTACAGCTGGTGCGGCGGCAGCACCCGCAATGGACGGACACCCGCGTCGCCGAACAGGTCAGACGCACGCGGACGGGGGGGGGGGGGGGGTCACTGGGCAGGCCAGCCACGCTAGCACAGACGTGCGGGTGATTCAACGGTTTACGCGGATGAGCCGGCCGGTGAAGCGCCCCCCCCCCCCCGCCCTCGGTACCAACACCCGCGAACACTCGGTCAAGCCCGGGAGCGCTTGGACCTGTGGTCTGTCTCCCAGGCTGAGAAATGATTTGAGCAGCAGCCTGGTTTTGAGGTCTTAAAAGACTTTGGGAAGTGTTCTCCGTACTCCAGGTGAGCTTCGGTCGTGACCCCTTTCTCTCGCAGCTTAGGAGGACCGTGGCGAGGACGTTGAGATGAGAGGCTCCGGAAAACTGTTGGTGATATGTTGGTGTTGGTGTTGGTCTCACCACTTACTCGCGAGGACTTTGCTCCCCGGCCCTAACCTCAGACCCGGGAGAAATTTGATCCGTAGTCCGTGTTATCAGACCTGCGGGGACTTTCATTCGTGATCCGTCTTTTAAGACGCGGGAGGACTTGGATCCGTGCCCCGTGTTATCAGATTCGGGATGACTTTGACCGGTGACCGGTGCCGGCAGGCTCGGGAGGACTTTGACCCGTGACCGGTGCCAGCAGGCTCGGGAGGACTTTGACCCGTAACCGGTGCCGGCGGTCTCTGCAGGACTTTGACCGGTGACCGGTTCCGGCAGGCTCGGGAGGACTTTGAGTGGTGGGCTCGCCTGTTCCTTCAGCGGACGCTGGAGGCGGCCGAGCGTGCCCGGCCGGCCGCCGCCTGGGGCTACTACCAGTATCCGCTCTGCGGGAACCTGCACATCCCCAACGGCACCTGTCCGCAGTCATGGCGCGACAAAAACGACCGGTCAGTGCTGCCATTTCGCGGCCGAGCCGGGCAGCAGTAGTGCTGCTGGTCACCGCTCGGTGAGAACCCATCCCCTTGTGGTCCGTCTGCTGATGGTTGTCGCGACTGCTGCACGCTCCTGTCTCCGTGCCGGTCCGTTATACCCGCCCGGTACAATCGTGACTACGGGTGGTCATCGCTACGGTGGTCATGGTCTACTACATGGACTACGGTGGTCATGGTCGCGGCTACGTGCCGTCATCGCTGCTGGGTACCAGCTGCGTCTTGTACAATCCCGCCCACGTTTGTGTCAGTACCCATTCGTGTAAGCACGTTCTCATGGCAACCGCTCGCCCACCCCCAGCCTTTGCATCGGAAGTGGACTATTCCATTGCTCCTGCCGTCCGCTGCAGGCTGTCGTGGCTCCTGAGCTCCAGCAGCGCCCTGTACCCGTCCGTGTACCTGTTCCGGAACGGGTTTACGGACGCTGACCGGCGCGCCACGGTGAGGGGCCGCCTAGACGAGGCCCTGCGGCTAGCAGCCGGGGTCCCCGTCTACACGTACACCTGGTTCCAGTACCACGACGATCCCAGTTATCTGTCTGAGGTGAGCTGGCGGCGGTTTGGTTTGTAGGTGGGAGGTGCAATTGGCGCTAAGTTGTTAGGCCGATGACAAGGTTCTGCTCAAAACGTTTCGCTGGCCAGCACGTATGCGTAAGTGAACGATCGCTGGGATGCCGCGACAATGCTTGTGAGCACACTCTCTGTTATACACGTTGAGATTGAGTGAAAATGCTGCGGCGTTCAGTGGCGCAGTGTAGATGATGGCGTTGGTGGTAGCGCCAGGCAGGCAGGCACTGGACTTGTCGCACCCTCCCCGCCAGCCTGAGAGTGCCCCTGCCCCACCCTCCCCGCAAGCCCGAGAGCGCCCCTGCCCCACCCTCCCCGCCGGTCTGAGAGCACCCCTGCCCCACCCTCCTCGCCAGCCTGAGAGCGCCCCTGCCCCACCTTCACAGGCAGCCTGAGAGTGCCCCTGCCCCACCTTCACAGGCAGCCTGAGAGCGCTCCTGCGCCACCTTCACAAGCAGCCTGAAAGCGCCCCTGCCCCACCCTCACAGCCAGCCTGAGAGCGCCCCTGCTCCACCCATACAGCCAGCCCGAGAGCGCCCCTGCCCCACCCTCACAGCCTGCCTGAGAGCGCCCCTGCCCCACCCATACAGCCAGCCCGAGAGCGCCCCTGCCCCACCCTTACAGCCAGCCTGAGAGCGCCCCTGCCCCACCCTTACAGCCAGCCTGAGTGTGCCCTTGCCCCACCCTCACAGCCTGCCTGAGAGCGCCCCTGCCCCACCTTCACAGGCAGCCTGAGTGTGCCCCTGCCCCACGCTCACAGCCAGCCTGAGAGTGCCCCTGCCTCAACTTCACAGTCAGCCTGAGTGTGCCCCTGCCCCGCCCTCACAGCTAGCCTGGGTGTGACCCTGCCCCACCCTCACCGCCTACCTGAATGCGCCCCTGGCACGGTCGCAGGAGGACCTGCTGTCCATGCTGGGCCAGGTGCGCACCCGTGGTCTGCCCGGCGCCGTCATGTGGGGCTCCCACCACAACTGCGACTCGGCCGCCCAGTGTCAACGGCTGGACGCCTACCTGCGCGAGCGCCTGGGTCCGCTCGTGCGCCGCCTGGTGGCACTAACGCCGGCTGAGGTGCACACGTGGCGCCGCCTGTTGGCCAGCCAACGCGGCCGACGCCTGCTGCGGAATGCGCTCAAGTGGGAGGGTCCGGAGAGGGGCGACGGGCTTGGGGGAGAGTGGTGAGCAGCGTCGGGTCGCCGGCGAGAGGAGGCGATACGCTCGAGAGGGGACGTTGAGGGTGGGAGGAGTCTTCTCTCGACAGAGGTTTGGGATAGCGATGGATAATTATCATAGATACTTCGCTGGGACGACCAGGGCAGAAAAAAAGCATGCTATATCTTACGACCTTCGAAAAGACCATCGAAATTTAGGCAGATCATGGACGATGTTGGTTAACTGAGCTTCAGAAGTTCAGCACCGCTGGTATTAGAAGGCGTGCGTCTTCAGTCCTTCAGTCCAATCGCCAGTTCAGGGCGGCAGAGGGCAGACCGCCCCTTGGACCATCTCCGCCAGGGGCGAGCCGAGCCTTTGACGGGCAGGGGGCGCCAGCTGTCAGGGACCGAAGACTGCGGGACGGCGCAAGGCCAGCCATGACCCTGCGCCCCGACCCAGGAGCGGCCCGGGGACGAGCGAACTCCGCGCCCCACGCGGGGACAGCGAACGTGAAGCTGTCTGCCTGGGTCGTTCCTGCTCACTTCGGTATCTGACCGCACGTTATTCGACCGCTGCGCCAATCCGGCTTACTGCACCGCTTACAGCTGTCTATTTGTTTATGACTGACGTGCAGAGGCGCCTGGTCGACCTGCAGCCGCGGCGCCCCGGCTACAGGATAGTTTAGAGATAGCATCAGACATCTGCGCGGACTGCTGCCGTCGATGTATCCGGTCCACGCTGGAATCGATTCAATAACCGAAACTGATGCTACTCGATAAACCATGTGTGTCGAGCTGCGTGAGGAGTTCTAACACGGAGAACGTGGGCGATTTCGAGTTGCTATCTCACGCGCCTGCCACGAATCGGTCTATCTAAATCGGTTCGACTCTAAACCTCTAAACTCTAAATCGAAATCGGTTCGACTCTAAACCAACTGATCTGTAGAGGCAGAGCAGCACGCGCCGTCTCACCAGCAAGGGTCCACAGAATGATCTCTGCACTGGTTTTATTTCTAAACGCGTCACTCATAAAGCCATATGCAAGTTTGAGATCGTAAAGGGTCACATCTACGCATGATTTAAAAAACGCGTGCCACACTCACGACTAGACAAAGACTAGACTTGATCGATGAAAATGATATGATTGATATGGACGGCTAAATCACACGATTCGCACGCAGAGAAGCGAGGTCCGTTTGTACACAACTTTGGACGGATGCAGCCAATACCACGACACTACCGGCCGTTCCATTGTGGGAGCGTTGAGACTAAACACGGAACGCCGAGCACAGAGCACAGGGCTCTGACGCAGCGACCCTGGACGTTGAAACAGACACAACGGACTGCCCCCCCCCCCCTGCCCCCATCTCACAATATGTCTTCTCATTGTCACCGCGACTGGCAACGTCCCACGTCGATGAAGCAAGCGAAGAAGGGCGACCAATGGCGGACTTTCTCGAGTCACGCCCATTCAGAAACCAGCTTTGCCGCGACACCCGCAGGATGACCGTGGCCGGTGACACCACGATACTGGCACATGCCTCTGACGGCGCCCAAAGATGAGCCAGCATGTCTGCGGGAAACTCTGATCGCGGCTACACATCACCACGCAAGACTAAGCTGAAACCGATCCGAGGCGCCCGTATTGCTCCTAAAAAAAACTCACTGAAGATGGGAGTCCCAGCCAAAAGGTCCTCAGAATTCGAAAGCAGGGCTCTTTTGCGACAGATAAAACGCACGTACACGCACTTCACCTCACCCTTCTTGCCCCCGCCGAGAGCCAGCGTGACCGGGTCACCTCCCCTTCCCTGTCCCCGCCGAGAGCCAGCGTGACCGGATCATCTCACCCTCCCTGTCCCCGCCGAGAGCCAGTGTGACCGGGTCACTTCACCCTCCCTGTCCCCGCCGAGCGCCAGCGTGACCGGGTCACTTCACCCTCCCTGCCTTCGCCAAGCCAGCGTGATCGGGTCACCTCACTCTCCCTGTCCTCGCCGAGCGCCAGCGTGACCGGGTCACCTCACCCTCCCTGCCCTCGCCGAGCACCAGTGTGACCGGGTCATCTCATCCTCCCTGCCCTCGCCGAGCGCCAGCATAACCGGGTCACCTCACCCTCCCTGCCCTCGCCGAGCGCCAGTGTGACCGGGTCATCTCACCCTCCTTACCCTCGCCGAGTGCCAGTGTGACCGGGTCACCTCACCCTCCCTGCCCTCGCCGAGCGCCAGCGTGACCATATTATCTCACCGTCCCTGCCCTCGCCGAGCGCCAGCATAACCGGGTCACCTCACGCCCCCCCCCCTCCCTGCCCTCGCCGAGCACCAGTGTGACCGGGTCATCTCATCCTCCCTGTCCTCGCCGAGCGCCAGCGTGACCGGGTCACCTCACCCTCCCTGTCCTCGCCGAGAGCCAGTGTGACCGGGTCACCTCACCCTCCCTGTCCTCGCCGAGCGCCAGCGTGACCGGGTCACCTCACCCTCCCTGTCCTCGCCGAGCGCCAGCGTGACCGGGTCACCTCACCCTCCCTGTCCTCGCCGAGAGCCAGTGTGACCGGGTCACCTCACCCTCCCTGCCCTCGCCGAGCGCCAGCGTGACCGGGTCACCTCACCCTCCCTGCCTTCGCCGAGCACCAGCGTGACCGGTTCATCTCACCTTCCCTGCCCTCGCCGAGCGCCAGCGTGACCGGGTCGGCCAGCTCCGGTCGGCGGCCAGTGAACCAGGAAGCCAGCTTCTGCAGCTGTAAGGTCGACTCCGGTACGAACACGGCCATCCTGGGTAAACACGCAGTCAGTGGATCACTGGACACGGCCCCCCCCCCCCCCCCCGAGAACACCCTGAACGTAAAACACGGCCATCCTGGGTAAACACGCAGTCAGTAGGTCACTGGACACGGCCCCCCGAGAACACCCTGAAAATAAAACACGGCCATCCTGGGTAAGCACGCAGTCAGTGGGTCACTGGACACGGCCCCCGATAACACCCTGAACATAAAACACGGCCATCCTGGGTAAACACACAGTCAGTGGATCACTGGACACGGCCTCCCGAGAACACCCTGAAAATAAAACACGGCCATCCTGGGTAAACACGCGGTCAGTGGATCACTGGACACGGCCCCCCGATAACACCCTGAACATAAAACACGGCCATCCTGGGTAAGCACGCAGTCAGTGGATCACTGGACACGGCCCCCGATAAACACCTCTGAACATAAAACACGGCCATCCTGGGTAAACCACAGTCAGTGGATCACTGGACACGGCCCCCCCGAGAACACCCTGAAATAAAACACGGCCATTCTGGGTAAACACACAGTCAGTGGATCACTGGACACGGCCCCCCGATAACACCCTGAACATAAAACACGGCCATCCTGGGTAAACACGCAGTCAGTGGATCACTGGACACGGCCCCCCGAGAACACCCTGAACATAAAACACGGCCATCCTGGGTAAACACGCAGTCAGTGGATCACTGGACACGGCCACCCGAGGACACCCTGAACAAAGAATGCCGCTCTTCCGCGTGTGCACAACGACTGGGTAACACAGCACGACCACCCAAAGGCGCACAAGAACACCATTTGACTCTACCTGCTCCCATGGGCACACATGTAATCGCGTAGCCTAGTTGTAGGGTGACAACCCAGTGCACACGAGCGCTGTGTAACCTAACACCTGCCGCAGCGATGGCCGGGGACGTGGCCGCCGCTGGCTGCACGGCTGCCCCAGAAACACACCAGCACCGTTCACACGGCCACCTTCGGCGCACACAGACGCCACATGGCTCCCGGCCGGAACGTCATGCGCGGAGCAGGCCGAATCTACGAGGTTACGGTCGACGCCCAGTGTCGGCGCTTAACAGGCTTAGCAGGCAAAGCGTCATGGAATACCAACATCAACGACTGACAGCCAACCAGGTAGGTGCCAACGAAAGAGAGACAAGTCGCGACTACTCAGAAATTCCCCGCTATGTTAAATTTATGTAAACAACACAACTAATGAAATCACCACCTCGAAATGCAAGACTGCACACTCCAAGTGCAAATTCCAAATCGTACATAAACGACACCTCAGAATGGTTGGGCGCGCGCGCATCGCGTGAGCAGGTGGGGACCCTCGGCGAGCGGTGAGTAGGACGGCGCGGGCGCGGCCGGCGGCGGCCCTCACCTGACCCGGTGGCTGCCCGAGCAGACCGGCACGTGACACACGCCGTAGCCACGAATGACGTCATTGCCGAACAGGTCCGGCCCGTAACAGCTGACGATCAGCTGCGGCCCTGCAAGACGAATTTGCAACGTGCGTTTGCTACGGCTTATCATACGTTGCTGTTTCTTTCACCAAATGTATTGCTGTAAAATATTTACCACGCACACCTCATTTTGCAAACATTACACGGACGTGGTGTGTTACATTAACTTTACAACTAGGCAGAAGGGCATGGGACGAGCGTTTGCGTCGTTAACTCGGTGACGGCACCGCACACACGCGCCAGTCGTTTTTGAAAATGCAGGTATCATACCAACAAAATATTTTCGCGAGACCACATGAGTTGTTTAGTGCATTCGCGACGAATCATTACGCATGATACTAAGGCAGTACTAATAGTCTTATTCTTTGTAGGAAAGCCATGGAGATGGAGAAAAAGATGGATTGATCTTTCGGCCACATGCCCTCATCAAAACGAATAAGGCACGTAGCCAAAATAGCAATACGTCAATCTCTCCATTTCCCTCGCATTCGTACGACGAAAGGGCCGATAAAACTGTCTTATCTGTTTTTGCCAGACCCGGAGCGGCCAAATGCGGCACACGCCACATCCCGATAATTCGACTTTCGGGCGCCCCGTGGACCACTGCCTGTACGATCCCCCCCCCCCCTCCCCACATACAAACTTTTGTCACGGCATGACCAGTCCCCAAAACATGAGACGCCCTTGCCGTCCCCGACGCGCACGCATCCCTGGTGCTGGCGCGGCCCGTTGCGGCAAGCGTGCGCGAAGACGGGGGCGGGCAGCGGCGGGGCGGCGGGGCGGCGGGGCGGCGGGGCGGCGGTGCAGGCAGGCGGCGGGGCAGGCGGCGGGGCGGGCGGGCGGGTCGGGCGGGCGTGAGTGCGCGAGGACGGCGAGCGGACGGGCGAGCGAGCGGGCGGGCGAGCGAGCGAGCGAGCGAGCGGGCGGGCGGGCGAGCGAGCGGGCGGACGAGCCAGCAGGCGGGTGGCGGCTGCCGGCGCCCAACTCACAGCCGTGCGGGTTGGTGGACTTGAACGACACTTCAACGGGCAGGTTCCAGACCAGTAGCTGGCGCTCGTCCTGGCTGCGCTTGCTGATCTGCGAGATACCCTCGTCCAGACCCTGGCGGCGGAGCGGCTGCCGTCAGCCGGAGGCCGACTCGTGCGCGGTGACGACAGGACACAGCGCTGACCCCGAACTCCGCTGTTCCGCTCACTTCAGAGTGCATGTCGGCACGTCAAACTTTCGTCACACAGATTGTGCCATTCAACTGGAATTTCACGATCGGTAGTGGAATTAGGGATCATACGAGTCATGATAGGCGTGGGCTGTAATCTCAGAAATCTCCTCAAACAAACATTGGGAGTTCATTCACATGAAGCTCATGCAGTGGTCAACATTACAGCGCAATCTCAAGGTACATAAAGTGATTTGCGACCTGGTAAAATCTGTACAAATGCTTTGTTAAACTTAAAATGTGCATCAGCATAAATCCAAGGCAAAACATCCAAAGCCGAGTTCACTACTCGCTGAGGCATAGAACACGACCAGCATCTGCACGTACCGCCACCATCTCCCAGTCGGGGCCATGGTGGAAAG